TTGGGGGGGAAACAAAAAAATTTTTTTTTATTTTAAAAAAATTTTTTTTAATTAAAAACAAAATTATGATAATAATATTTCAAAAAAAAAAAAAAAAGTAATTGTGAATTACCACCAGTGTTGGGAGAATAGAATCTTATGTTACTAACAACGACAATTCTATTTTTATTTATTTTTTCTGAAAAATCTTTAAATATTTTCTTATCATTTGGAGATAGTTTTCTCCACGATCTAGAAGCTAAACCGCTCACTTCTTCCAAAACAACTTTTCTGGAATGCTTCCCATACTCTTCATTAAAGATACTACGAAACAACATAAAAGGTTTTGATGGATTATTTTCAATATAAAATGCCAGGTCTTTGAATTGAATTGGGACGGGAGGCAGGGAAGGGAAATACTCTGTAACGAAGAATAAGCTGCCTTTATAATTTATGATCATAGACTCGGTTATATTGCGCTCTATTAAGGCTTCTAATTCCTCTTTACTACCAGGGAAATAATTTGAATAGTTCATTGTATTATTTTTTAACAGAGATATAAAAAATAATGTTGATAAAAAGTAATTGAAAGCCCTTTTTATAAAGAAATTGTCACGTATAAATTTACTTTTAATTACATTGAATATCGTAAATTTTTTTATCTTTGGAAAAATTAATACACATTGGATAATTATTAATCAGGAAAAATCAATATATAGAAATGCGTGAACAAATTGAAGAATCAATCGAAATTTTGGCTTGTTGTATAGAAATTAGAAATTAGAAGTAAATTATTTGATATACCCGAGTTTAACGTATGAGTGATGAATATACCACTACGAATTTTCCCGACAGCTGGGGAAGTAGAATGATCTGTCTCCAATAATTTATTTCGACGGCAAATTATTATTACTATTTTTATTATTAAGAGGGAAAACATTAATCTAGAACAATCACAACACGGCTGACATTGTGGCTTTAATACAACTAAAAATAAATTTAATTTCCTTTTATTTTAGCGAGAATTAAAATAATTACTAATTTGAATAATTGCCAATTTGAATATACATAAA